TGTTTTCAAATTGTTGTCTTGTAAATTCCATTTCTAGAATTCCATGGGGATGATTTCAGTCAGGTTGTTTTGTTTCTCTGAATTGTTCATAGTCTTTTTTTTGTTTGTATACCTTGTGGGGTTTTATTGAAAAGTTGATATTTGAATATTATAATTTGGTAACTTAGAAATCAAATATTTCCTTCTCCAGGTTTTGTTATTTTTGGTATTTTAGAAGACTAATTGTTTAGTGAATTTCCCAATCCTTGGGCAAGTATTTATTTTGTGTCATATGCAGTCACTGAAGTCTTTGTTTCCTAGCTTATATTCAGATAGGGTTTTGACAGAGATATCCTTCAATGTCAGGGGTTATACAAAGTAACAAAGCCAAACCCTAAATCTCTTCCTATCTTTGCAAATCAGCCCTTCAACATTTATTTGGTCAAGCTTGCACTAATCCAGAGTTTTGACAAAGTTAGTTTGATGCTTACTTTTTATTTCTGTTGGAAGAATGAGTAATTGGAATTCCATAATCTGTCATTTTGCTTTTCCTCTTCTTGAATTTTATTTTATTCTGCTTCTGGTTAAGAATTCTATTAATAATTTGATAGCAATAAAAATGTTTTCTTGGTGTTGGGGTTGTAGCTCGGTGATAGATTACTTTCCTGGCACATGTAAGGCACTGAGTTTGATGATCCGTACCACATCACAATAAATAACAAAATAAAACAAAGGTATGGTATACATCTACAACTTAAAATTTTTTCTTAAAGTTTTCTTAAAAATGGTCAACTTGAAAATTGTTTGTTTACAGTAGTCCCTATGTATTTCTGTTTTATGTCTGAGTTTTCACTATTACAAAAACAATTTGTATTATTTAGAATACTAAATATGGCCACTAAATCATTAGGATGCTATAATTAACAATAGAAGAAAGAAAATTATAAAAGTCACAAATTTCTGGTATTGACTTTAGCACTAATTCTTAGATCTCATGGGCATTCCTGTATTTTTAACACAAATAATTAGCATAAGGAGGCTGATAATTACCCTGATATATGAAATGATGTAATAATCTTTAATGGCTCCTGTGTATATGGATGATGTTAAGACACTATCCTTTGTCTTTACTATATCAACGTGTGAATATACTTTATTTATAGATTTTTTTTAAAAAATGTACCTTTTAAGGTGTTTTAAATTGAATGAAAACATTTCAGTAGTGTAATGTAATTCATTTAAAACGCACAAATATTTCAAGTGCTTACTAAACCCATGGATTTGTTTTCATCTTGTTTTGAACCAAGTCATTCTCTCCCCAACCCCATTGCTACTAAATATCATATAACTGTGTTGTCGATTGAATAATAATTCGGAGACTAAGACTTTTTATATGTATGCCTTTCAGAATCCATACCTAGTGTGATGTGATACTTTCATTCAGTGTTTTCAGATGTAAATTGAAGGCACATTTGAGTAGGTGTGCTTATTCAGAGTGTTATTTTGCCTCTTTTTAACTTAACCTAGTTTAAAATCACTGGTTCTCCTTTCATGAAGCAGACAGATGTTTGTGCATAAAAAAGTACTACAGAAATCTATTGTAAACCTACCTTCATTTAGCATGATTTCAACAGTGCATAGATAGAACTGATTTAGCTAAACATAACTGCAGTTAAAGCTAAGAGTCTAGATTCCATTATACTTTTTTGAAATTTAAGTCACAATTGTACACTATAGATTTAATAAATTAGATACATATGCTACAAATTACTGTTGAAAAATACTAGCCTTTTGTATCTTCATTTAATTTAATGCAACTAACAGTATTTTTTAAAATCGGCCAACTTATTTTAATAAGTGTGAATGTTATGCATTCATTTTGCGAAGTTGCGTGCTAATTAGTGAAAGATCGATGTTATATCAATTTCAAACTTCAAATTTGGTTCACAAGTAATGCTGAGTTGTTTCTGTAGATATAGAATTATTGTACATTGTTATATAGTAACAGATCTAATGCATGTTATATATTGCATATAATTTATGTATATATTTAAAATGCATAAGTTAAATAAATATGTCCAAATTATTTCACTCATTAGTTTACAGTGGGTATTGAAATACCTTTAAAAACCAAATTGTATTCTAAAAATTTACTCGATTGTTAAATTACTTTTCAAGCAAGTGCAAGAAAATCTATTATTGTAAAACACATTTAGGTATTTGTGCTCTCTGATCATTTAAAGGTCTTTGTGTAAGATTACTTTAATAATGTATTTATGTGTGTGTGTATGGCTGGAAAACAGCGTGTACATTCTTGTTGCTGTTATGGCTACCTGACAGCTTAGTTCAGGAATTAGAATAGCAACTGAAAACATCATATCAAACTCTCTTGCACCCTCTGTTGTTATTTTTGGGAAACACTGCAATACATTCTTTTGGTTGTATTGTTATTACACTTATTTAAGTCCCTGATAAAATCAATAGTTTATTATACTTACCTCCAAACTAGATTCAACAGTAAAGGAAAATTTGTTTATAAGTCTTAATTTTTTTATGTTGCAGCCCCCTTTTTTCATATAATTTAAATGAAAAAGGAGCCTTGTCTGTTTCTTTGATTTCTCCTTGTTACCAGTTTTTAACTCCATGTTTCATACAAATGAAAGTCTTTGCAGGATGTAGTACCTTATTTGTACAGTTTTCCAGAATTGCAGATTCTGTATGTTCTTTTGTAAACCTTTCAATAGTGAGTTTGCTTCCAAAAGAAGAGTCTGAAATCGTCCATACTAAAATTAAGAATTTATAACTGTACGGAACAGATGTTTTCATAAACATTTGCTGTAATTAATTTCAACTAGAGGATTGAAGGAACAAAGCAGTTTTTCCCTCTTCAAAACTTTATTGCCTTTTTCCCATATAACAAACTCTGAAATCTTTTCTCTAGTATTGTTAGTGAGTGAAATGACTGTGCTCCTTATTTGGTATGTTTTTGAGAACAAAAACTGCTTTTTTTTTTTTTTTTAATTACTGTCTTTTGTACCTGGAAAGTTACGTTTAATGTGGCATTTTATTTGATTTACGGTTATAAACTGAAAGAAACCTTTGTACTATCTTATGATAATAAAAACCTGTTTAAAAAAAAACAAAAGCTTCTTATTTGAATGATTTTATATGTGATCTGATAAATCAGCTTAAAGGAAAAATATTCTGTCAGTAGGATTTTATGTATTTAAATAATCTAAACCTTTAGTTTTAAGGAGAAAGAAGGCTCATATTTTAAGTGTATAATAAAGTTCTTATTCTGTTCTGATATGGAACATTTCACAGGAAACGTCTGCAAGCTGTTAAATAACATGTGTTAAAGGAAATTTTCATTTAGCAATGCAGACAAATTTTCTTTAAATCTTATTTATTATAATAGTAGTAAATTTCTAAAAGAAAATTAATTACATATGTGAGTTTATCTTACCCTTGTTTTCAAAGAATTAACAACAAATACACATCTTGACTAATCTTAAAACATATAAATTTTTGGATTATTTTCTCCTATAAATTGTCATCATTTTTGAGTGATGTGATCCACCTTAGCACTTTTTCATTTAAAGAAAAAAATACCTGGAAATATATTTTGAAAAAAGAGTAGAATTAAAAGTTTAGTAAACAGGCTCAGTCCATTTCTGATCTTTTTGAACTATTTGGCATAGCAGCAAAATACCTTGAAAAAAACCAACATTCTTGACTAATCTGTCAAATATAAAATGTGTAAAAAAATAGGTAGCTGTCATTAAAATTACATTTCAGTTTTCAGTAACTATTTAATGAGCAGCATAATTATAGAAGTATGGTACCTTAAGTACTATACTCAATAATTAAAAATAATCTCTTTAAACTGAAAGCTCCATAATTACTATTTGACTTAACTAGAACCACTGTGATGATCTCCAGTGGCACCTAAGTTTGTTCAAAGTGAATTATAAGTATAAATTAATATTGTATAAACCATGGAATTATTAACTTTTAAATATTCTAAAAACAAACATAACCTGATGTTTGAAAGCTATATTATAGGAATTAGGAATATGAAAGTTAATTAGATTCTAGTCTTTTAAGTTAATTTTTAAGAACAAATGATGTGCTTTGATTGTATTATACTATGATTTTAGAAAAATCTATAAAGCATATGTTTTAAAAATTAAACTATTAAATTTTTGTCAATAAGAATGCATATTTTACATTGGAGCATTGCTAAGCTGCTTTCCCCCCCCCCCAAAAAAAAAATTTAGTAAATTTATTTGTGTTCAATAGTGTTTAAAACTGACATGTATGAATTTGTTCTAAATTTGATTTTATAAATATGCTGGTTTCTTAAGTGAAAATGTTTTTCTGAATGCTATAATTGACAAATACTTTTTGGTGATTTTTTTTTTATGTTTTAAATGGCTAACTTTCTAAGTTCAAAGAAACTTTTGGCATAAAAAGGCATATTATAAAGTTCATATTATAAATTTACTGATGACTACCTCTGAAGCTTTTGTTTTACCTCTCTGCTTAGAAAATTCCTTTCCTAGACAGCAGCAAAATATGAACAAGAAAATCTTGTAGGTCTGCCCTCTGCTCACTCTCATTTTTGGCTGTACCAGTGGTCAGAATTTGTGACCTAGATACTAACAAAATAACAAAAGCATTGCCATTGCTTATAAACATTAACTTAAAATGAAAAGGTTTACAAGTTTTGGTTTTGTCTGTGATTCATAAAATGAAATGAACTATGCTTCATTTGTTCTTGTTAGCAATGACTTTGGTAGTATTACTAACCAAATCAAGAATGGTGGTGTTTATATTTGGCAATCAAATGAATTTTTTGCCTAAATGGCTCGAAATACAAAAGGTAATTGGAGAGGGATAAAGAAATATATGTTTTGTTGAGTATTATATATCATAGAGCTGTCACACAGTAGTTTTTCAGTTGAAATATTCAATTTTGTAATCTCCATTATTTCTGTGTTTTTAAATTTTTTTTCTAGGATATTCAAATAAAAATGGAAGAAGAACAAGTTCTACCTTAGACTCTGAGGGGACTTTTAATTCATATAGGTAGGTGGTGAATACATGGATGCGTAACAAGATAATTTATAATTTTATAGGATTACAACCTTAGAATAGGGAGGAACTCCTACTATCTGTGCTTTAAAAGTATTATTGACATGTAAATAACATTGCAGTCTGTATCTTAGACAACAGAAAACATTCTGAATTCTTGAATAAATGATCATTGCTAATATCTGTTGTTATCCTATAGGAGGAAAATTGAAATGAATAGTGTAGTTCTAAGCTTCATTATAATCCATTTTTAGTTATCTTTTTCTGGTATTTCTGTTATAGTACTAAAGGCTTTCATTTGTTTAAATTTCTCGCTAAAAGAGAATGTACTGCTCATGAGTGCCTAAGGGAGCTTAAAATGTAATTTGTGATTGAATTAAGTGCTGTTTGTTAATATCCTGTTTGGGATCTTTAGCAAACAGGACAGTTACATCTCAATTAGTAATTAAAAAAAAAAAAAAAAAAGAAACACCAGTTTAAAAATATGTAATTTAATCTTGTTTTTTAACTTTTTCTCCATAATTTGGTTTTACTGAAGTCAATGTTTATGAATTTTATTCCTTATAACAGAGAAACCCAGGAAAAAGAAAGATGAAAGTTATTTTCAGTAATATTTAAAAATCCATACACTAAACCAAAATGGTGTCATAACTTGATTGTTTTCTTTTAGGAAAAAAAGTACAGATTTATTATTAGTATATTTAAGCATTGTAGATGGCAGTGCACATTTTTGAAGAGATAACTTCAATTGGAATTAAGTGTCCTTATGATTAATTAGTTCTAATAATGTGTAACAACACTATAAAATATATTTTAAGAATCACTGTACTCTTGGAAACCCATTTGAATATTAAACTGTATCTCCTTTTCTACAATAAACATGGAATATATGCTTAGTTTATATTTTTGTTTTTATACATATTATGTTTCCTTAATTGGAACCATGTCATTTGTTTCTTAAGATTCCAGGCAGGCTTTTAACATTTAGAAAAGAGCCTTATCACATAGTAGGCATTTAATAATAATGTAGTGAATGAAAAGTTCTTACAATTTGTTTATGAATTCTAGAAATGAGATGATAATTGAAACACTTGACATCTTTATTTTATGCCAATTGGGGTCTGTACAAATAATCAGCCATTTAAGTGTCAGTGATACTAGATAAAGCTATGTTCCCATGGTGTTCTAGAAGGGTATTATCACAGCAGTAAAACTCATATGTTGTCATTATATTTTCACTGTACCCATCCTACCTTAAAACTATTGCAATTCTCCCAATCTTTCTTTTAGTTTGAAAATTGACATATGAAATAATAGGTAGATTCCACTCTCTTAATATGTCACAAATATTCACAATTACCACCAAGAAAGCTAAATATAAAAAAAAATAATTAAGCAAGTATTAATGATTTGGCATGTAACTGGGGAATGTGAATATGATAATACATATTATGGTAATATTATTACGTGTAAATACAGTAAAAACAAAGGGGGGAAAGTAAATATTTTAAAGGAAGGAAGACTTCTCAACATGTTATACATTTTTTGGCTATTTATGTTCTACAATTACATTTGTAGTTTAATCACATTAAATAATGGACATAACATAATGGTAAAGTTTTAATGTGAAGATATAGCATTATCTTATAGTTCCTTTTGTCCTCGAGTAGCTTGGGGATTACTGTATTTTAGTATTATTGAATGTTAACTTTATTTTGAAAATGAACTCTTAGTGCAACTTGGAACAATAAATGATAATGCTGTTAACTAAATATTTTTAATCAATGCCTGTCACTTGTAATGCCATGATATTAATGTATTATTATAATTAAAATGGCAAGATAAAAGCTTTGGTAGTACAGTATGTAAAAATGGGCTTTTAATAGTCAATAGGCCAGTGCTGCTATTAGATGGCATTATAGTATATAAGGTATGAAATGAATATTTTTCTAGTCAGTAGGCAATAACTGTTTAATAAGCTTACTTGTGAATTTGACATTTGGGTTAAATGTACAATTCTTAGAAGCACAGCTCTGGGGTATATTTTCATTGTAAGGTTAACTGACAAAACCTCAAAATAGTTTCTGAATCATATTAAAATAGTATCAGAATTGTCAAATTTACTTTGTAAATGAAAATTATTTTTCTGATATCATTGTAGTTCTTCAAACTATCTAGAAATAGGTTACCAGAAAAACATATTTTACAGCCCTGAAACATGCTTTGGTGTAACAGTCTACCTTTGTATTATTTAACCTACCTCAGAATCATAACCTTCCTTTATAAACAACTTGGACTTTTATACTAGCACCAGCTCACTCAGGATATGTATACTTGTGTCTAGGATAAATACTACTAGCTTTAGTCTCTCATCCATAAAAGAGGCAATATAATTTCTAACCTGCCTTAGTTTGCATAACTGTTTTAAAGACTGAGGTAAAATGTGTAAAACAAAGGTTTTTGAAAATCGAAATGCAAAGCCATAGTAGTAATATTTGGGGCTCATGTGTACATTACATTGCCTCACTATTTACACCCTTTTATAACATGCACTGATGTTTTATTAACTTTGTCTTATTGGTCACTTAAGTCTGTTTTTCCTATCATTTGTGTTCTTGTAGTATTACATTGTCAAGTTTTGAGGGGTCATAGTCTCAGGGTATTTGTTTTTAAAAAATATCTGTACAGAATGTTTTGGTTGAAATCCTTTGAAGTGAGGATAATAACATTCAGTTGATATAAGGAATTTAATAGGATAATGTCACATGGTAAATGCTGAATAAATATTAGTTGCTTTTATGTTCTAGTCAGTGTCATCATCATCACTGTCATCATCATTAACCTTTTGGTTTTGTAGCAAGTTTTATAGTGCTCTAATATAGAAACAGCAAAAGGAGGAGAGAAAAGAATTCTTACAGGAAAATAACTTGTCTTTTAGCAGAAAAGGAGCTTAAAGCTTGTGAATCAGCTTAACTTGAGGCTCTGTGCCAGGCACAATATTCTTCATTACCTTCCTGCAGTGTATTTGTACACCTAGTAAAGGTGAAGGGAAGATATTTTACTAATGAATTCAAAGATGGATATCTAGAACTTTATTAACAAATAAGTTTTGAAATTTAAAATCAGTGGGTTCTAACTATAGCTTTATGTGCCTAAAGTTCATAGAAATTGTGTTTTTTTATTTGTTTGTTTTTTAAATAGGCTAGGAGGCTTTACTTTAGATTTGTATCTTCTCATGGTTTTACCTTATTGAGTCAGATAGGTTGGGTACAGCTGTATTTAACTCCTAAACCAGTATGATTATCTTATGGTGTTTGAGTGTTAGAGCTGATCTTGTTTTAAACGTTTTGGTTAAAAATCTGATTTATGCCTCCAACTAATTTGCAGATGATGATAAAGTGGAAAATTTGTAAGAATTGAGAAGACATTGGTTTTATGAATGATATCTTGTGCTTTTAAAAGATCAATGTTAATGTTTATGATCAGACTATAGGCTTTCTTTATTTCTTACTTAACCAATAAAGTGGAGAGTCTGGCTTGCTGGGTGTGAAAGAAGAGAAGCAGTTTTCTGATTACTGGTTTGCAGTGGCCATTTAACTTAATGAATCCATCCAGCACAGGGCTATATGGTAGAAGGAATATTCTTTCTCTTCCACCCCTCCTCCTCCCAAGGGCAGCTGACCTTCCTCTCGCCAAAAGAGGCAAGCCCCTTGCCAGCACATACGACTGCAGACTATTACATTAATCTGTTTAGCTGTAGTACCAGCTGCTTGCATGTTTTTAATTATCTTATTAGATGTTATAACAGTGACCTATGAAATAAATTGAAGGTGAACATTTTTAAACTTTTATTACTGTTTCTTAATCTTTTTGATCAAATTATAACTTTTTACAAAAGTTCATAGGAAATCTATGTAGTGCTTTTTTCCCAGATATAATGTCATGATTCCCAATATAGAAAATATCTTCATTTTTTGCTTTATTTATTGATAAGAATTAGATTGTGTTTTTAGTCAAAAAATTCATGGTAAATTTGGCTTACTAGTCAATTTATAGAAAACTCAGACCAGTTATTTGGCATTTGCTTGGGAACTCAAAATATTGCTTAATTTTCACACATCATCTATACAGTAAGAATTCATCTGGTTTACTCTATTTTTCTCAATTTAATTTCACATGGTACTATGTATGTGTGTATTTTTTCAAACTATCCTGTAAGGAAAATGTACTACTGTATTTTGACAATTGGAAGACTTTCAGATAATAAATTGTAAATGCAAAGTTGACTTCAAGATACACACAGAATAATCAAAACTGATGATGGTTCAATTACAAGTCATAGCCACTAAGCTAAAGATTATAAGAATTTAGTAAGGAATCATGGTGTTGAATTAAAAGTAAGTTGTATGTAAAAACAACTGCAGAAATACTAATGTGTGTCTTTTTAGTTAATAAATCCTACAACTCGGACAGTGGTGTGACTTTGGCAATTAAAATTTTTTGAAGACTTGCCTACTTGTTTTTTTTTTTTTTTTTTTCGAAAATATACATACTTCTTCAATCTTTCTTCTAAAGAGGTGCTATATTTTGTATTCCAAAAGGACATTTGTTGAAGAATATGGTGTATTCTGTAGCTCAATCAAAGGGTGTTTTACGTTGGGAAAAGTGTTTTAAAATTTACAAGTAGGTTTAGCTTTTGCATCTAAAAGTTAAATCTTTTCCTGAACAAGGATATATTCATTCATTTGAACATTCTTTGATCACTAAATCATAAAATAGTTTTCTTTAAATCATTTTAAAAATAGGTGAAAAGGTTTATTACAAAGATTTTTCTGTCCCTCGTTTACATGTAATCAGTACCTTCAGAGCATTTATTTTTAGTTAATACCTTTTACATTTGTATGTAAGAAGTAATGTATCATTAAAATTAAAATGGAGAAATGGTTATAAATATTAAAGGAAAAATAACAGAGCAAAGGCGTACTTTGAATTAA